AAATTAAATTAAATTAAATTAGTGTGGCTGTATGTCCTCTTTTTCCCAGACATTTCTCAATTTCCTAAAATTTCAAGGTTTTGGCTTTGTTTTCTAATTGACTGGCTGTCTACACTCATCATACATATATGTATGCATATGTTTTCTCTTTAGATCCCACCTTCTCACATGCCACAATTGGTTGATTATGTACAATGCCTGCACGCTATTGGTCGAACTACTTTTCAGTCATTACCTTCAGCGAGTATGAAAACAATAGGAAAACAAAACCAAAACCTGGATCTTTTAGGCAATTTAGAAATCCCAGTCAGGACACGTCCAGAAAAAAGCGGATGTATGGTCACCCTAATAAGAACAAATTATAGTTTTATTATAATAATAATACTGAAAACATTGGATCATAGATGGTGCCACTAGGTCTTGCAGTGCTGTCAGAAGCAATCCATGCATGAAATAACTGTATTTCAAAAAAGCATTTTGCTCTTTGTTTAGTAACTGTTTAGGATCATTTCCCAATCTGTGTTGGTGATACTTCTCAGGTTAGACAGAAAATACAGAAATCTGTATAAAAATGGAAAAATTAATTCCTGATTTATAATTAAACCATATAAGCTTATATATCAGACACTTTTAACCAAACCGTATACAGTATACAGCTACAGTATACTTATTACAAAGTAGGCTGAAACCTAAATGCTAATAAAGGTGGAGAGGATGAAAATCCCATAGAAGGTATAATTATGTATTTAATTTTATTTTTAAGTACCCAGCAAAACTGTCAAAGCAAAAGTCTGTTCAGCCAACTTCAAACTCTGCCATATACATAAACACTTCAAGTGACTATTAGAACTTGGATTTCAAAAAAACATTTGATGAGACCAAAGTCTAATGAAAGGCAAGGACGCATGCCATGCTTGGCCTAGATTCCTGTCCGGTCACCGCCGCAACCAGTGCCAACCTAACTAAACACACATTACCTGATCTGGATGATAGAAGACAGCTTGTAGTGCAGCACTGACCTGGCTCGGTTCAAAAACCTCACAAGCTGCCTACGCAGACAGAATTTTAAGAGATTATAAACACACACGAGATCAGTGCTGTTATTGTTAACGAAAACTGAAATGACTAAAACTAAAATGTCAATAAAAATAAAAATAAAGCTAAAAAACAAAACTAATAATGATGACAATAGCACATAAAACAATTACTAAAACTTCAACTTAAATTAAAATAAAAATTTTATTAAATACTATAATGGTAAATGTAAATAGTACTAAAATAACACTGCTCAAGATACAAAGACTATAGTGACAGAATGTAAGATATTCTCTAATAACTACTTTTGGCCAAATTCTAAAATGTATACTTTTGCAGAGAAAGCAATCGCCCAATGCACTTTAAAAAGCTTAGTGAAAAAAAAAATAGAATTCAAAATTTCTAGATTATGACAAATTTCTAGATTGTGACAAAATGTGAGAGAAAGATTATAAATACACTTACATTTTAAAATCAATAAAAATGTAAAATTCTACTGAAGACAGGAGTGTCATTATTCAGCTGGAGTCAGTTCAATGTTGATTCATTTCAGTTAATTCAATTCAATAACAGTGTTGCAAAATTCATAAATTATGTACAAATTCGATTCAGCTATAAAGCAGAAGACAACAGTGTTATTATTAAACTCAATTCCATTCATCAGCAACATGCTAACATCAAATGTTAATTAAATCAACTGAAAGTTACAAATCAGATGCCATTTTAGTTAAGATGCTGCCTTAGAAGTCAGTTGTCTAAGTAGGTGGCTCACCAGGTTTTGGAACAGAGCCCATTAATTCCCCAGCTCTTTTGTTTAACAGACCATCAGTTGTACTTCCACTTAAGGATGCCACAGTTTCTCACTACATCACAACAGATTGTACTGATTTATCGCCGTCTCTCTTTG